AATAAAACCTGATTGTCAGGCAATCACAGGCAATTGAATTTCAGCCAATCACAAGCTTGCAACTGAGCAAACCATACCCAAATAAGGCAGATACCTAGATGCAAACAATCAAGCTATTTCTGCAATTTACTTCCTTGTTCTGACTATAAATATTCTCTACCCACAATGTCCAGCAGAGCTCTCTGAACCACTTTTGGTTCTGAGCACTGTTCAGTTCATGCATAACTATTTGCACAAACAACCACTCTTAAATATAACAACTAAAGTTTTTTTTAATTTTTAATCAGTTTAGTTTTCATATCTCCCACTGAAGCCTAAGATCCTTGAGAAAGAAATCATTCCACTGTTGACCACTATATGTTTGGGTATTCAGGACATACTAAGAGCTTCACAAAGACAAATACAGATCAAGTGATATGTGGATCCCCCTTCTTTGTCTACACTGTTCAAATATCACTTGAAATATGAGTTTTATATTATCTTTATTTCATTTATTCAAAGGCAGAAACAGAAATAACTCTTTAATTTTTTTCCCAGATGGCATAACTAGAGAAGAAAAGTTGAATTTTCAGAATATTGCTATTTTCTCTTGTAATAAGATACAGAATTAATCATAAATGTGTGAAGGCAACTTCCTACCAAAACCAAAGATTTATACATTGAGTCTCTGAGTGTTAAGACCAGATGGCTAAAATGTTACAAGAATATCTCAAAGGAGAGCTCCCTGTATTTTTGAGTCATATGAAATAATTCTAAAAATTAGCTGTTCATTGTGAAGTCCTCATAATTGTACCCTAGAGGGTGCAAAAATATATTCGTGACTTTATACTATTTGTAACACTGACTGTATCCTGTATCTAGCACAGATCAAGTGGTCTATCACTGCACTACCAATCCTTACTAGTAGTTCCTCACAGATACCTCGATGAAATTAATAAACCCTTTGCTTTTATGCCATTATCACCTTATCCTCATTTTATAATATGTAAAAGCAGCTTTTTTTGTAAAGGAAGGGGCTGGTAGTCCTCCATTCTTTAAAATCAATAGTAACCAGGGAAAATAATTTATTGCTGAGAAATGCTCACTATTAACAGTGTGTGTGTGTTGCTGACTGGACTGAACACAGCGATAATTAAAATTCATTAGCTCTTTGTACTTTATGAAAACTGATGGGCTTGCAGAAAAATAAAAACGAAGACTGGGGAACACTCCCCCTTTTCGAGACATGAGCCTTATCTCAGTAGACACAAGGAAACACATTAATTTATGTTTTCATGAATTTCACCTCTGCTCAGCAAATTAAATCACTCATTAATTAAAATGAATACCATAGAAAAAGATACGTTTTGGTCAATCACTTGCCTGCATTCACAGAGAATTGTGAGGACAAAAGACTTCATGTTTTACTTGTGTGAAACCAATGAAAGCCAGGTTGGTACTCTTTTTATCAGCATTAAGCAGACAAGTCATAAAGGGAACATTCACAATACTCTCATACAAAAACACAGTAACAAAAAATGCTGTTTATAAATATTCTATTTAAAGAGACTACCCAAATATTCTATTTAAAGAGACTGCTTTTGAACTGGAGGTTGGTTCAGTAATAACTGCTTATCTAGAGAGTCTGAGGTTCAATCCTCAGCTCTGAAAATGCATACATACATATATACATACATCTGTACATACATGTATACAGACATACATATACGTTTGTCTTTGCTCCATTTTGCATTACAACTATAAGCATTTTTCAAACCACAAGTTTGAAATATGAGACATTTGACTTAGACATAAGAACCTGGAACAGCCAGGCCCCAGAGGTTCAGGCCTGTAATCCTAGCTACTCCGGAGACTGAGATCTAAGGATCAAGGTTCAAAGCCAGCCCAGGCAGAAAAGTCTGTGAGTCTCTTATCTCCAATTAACTACCAGAAGTGGCATTGTGGCTCAAGGGTAGAGCGCTTGCTTTAACCTGAAGAGCTCAGGGTCAGAGCCTAGGCTCAGAGTTCAAGCCCCAAAACTGGAAAAGAAAAAAAGACCCAGAAAACAATATTTATGGTATGTGACATGTTTTGAAAGGGTCATGAAAGTCATTAAAATGGGCATTTATAATTTAATTTTACCTTTGAAAATCAAGCAAAGCATTTTATGCAAGTATATTTGAATTATTAAGAGTTCTTATAGTCACTTTAGCAAGTATAGGTTTTTGGGAGCTTTATTGTTTTGAGGTTTTTTTGAACTGGCCTGTCTTTTATCAGTATCACTTTAAAGCAGAGTCTCCTGAACCCTCCCCATAGGGAGAACTTCCTTGCTAGTTACCATTGGGTGCTGCCTCTGCACATGAAGAGGAGAACTCCTGGGCCACAAAACATAAAACATGCAACTACCACAGTGCTTAAGCTGACAAAATCTGCCTTTATTTAAAGCAAAATCAGTAAAATGTTTCACTTTTTTTTTTTGCTTTTTAATGTTAAGCCCAAGGAACACATTAGATTTGTTTTTTAAAGGAAAAATCACCTGAGGAAAACTATGAACATACTAACAAGTCTGTAAAACTAAACCTTAGGTACAAATGACATGACTCAAAACAACTAATTTTAAAGTATGTGAAGTAAAGGTATGTAATTTTCTAAACAGACACAAATTTTGGCAAATCTCCATTTATGTGCACTGCAGCCTTTTTTTTTTTAACATGTACATAGTATAGCCCAAGCCAGGCTGGAACTCAAGATCCTACGTCAGGCTCTGAGTGTTGAGATTACAGATATGTGCTACCCTACCTACCTAGCTAATGTTTACTGAAGGAAGAAGAGACATAAAGATACCACAGGGTATTTTATAAGACATTAAACCAAAGTAAGACCTCTCCTTCTGGACTTTTGAAGATGGTTAAGGTACTCTAATCTTCCTTCCTGGCACACTACTACATTCTACCTAGCTCAGTCCATTTTCTAGTCTCCTGGACAACTCTGTGTAGCACAACTTCTCACCAATGAGCCGGCGTATGCTATGCAAAGGAAAGAACATGCTTAACACATGTTGTGTTTTCACCTCCTCTCTTTTTCCCAAGACATACACTGCTTTTGGAACTGGCTTCCCTCCAGCTCCAACCATGCCGATGAGGCCAATTCTCTAGGAGAGGGGATAATACAAAAATAACCTGAGCTATTGAAAGACCACTTGGCTTAGAGCTGCCTCTCCAGCTGGGATCACTCACTTCTAGAATGTTATGTGAAAGTTAGAAATAAACTTCTACTGTACTTTAGCTCTCTTTGCTACAGTTGTTTGTATAGGCAGTATATAAGTCAGTTCTTTATGGGATAGTTCCCCCCAGAGCTGTGAATACACTCTTTCTTAAGGAAATAGCTAATTAAAAAAAAAAAAAACAAAAAAACTTGCAGTACCCTAAGTAACTGAAAGTCTGGATTATATGATCTAGCTATGAAGTTTATGAAGATTAAAATTCCTGTCTTTAATGCAATCAATTCTCATTTATCTAATCTAAAAGACAAAGAGAAAATCTGAAGACAACTGACAAAGGAAGTTATTGTTTCCGTGATACATATATTTACATAAATATTTTTATGCAAACCCAGGCTAATGAGAGCAGGCTGGCCCCTGGAAATGATAGTCTACAACAATCATCTTAATTTTAAAAATTTTTATATCTTATTTTTCTTTTTATATCTTATTTTTCTTTTGCTTTCACTAAGATAAAGATAGGAATGCTAGTAGTAGAATATGAAAGAAATCCACAAAATGAACAGCAAACCTGATTTCCAGATAAAGTTATACACTTTATTATTGTCCCAAAGCTTTTTGCTCAAGGCTAGCCCTCTATCAGTAAGTCACATTTGCACTTCCAGCATTTTGGTAGTAAATTAGAGATAAGAATCTCACACAGAGTTTCCTGCCAAGACTGGCTTAGAAATACAATCCTCAGATCTCAGCCTCTAAGCAGCTAGGATTGAAGGCATGAGCCACTAGGGCTAGGCTATACTTCACTTTTGAACATTCAATTACATTTAACTCAAAAGGTTCTCTGCCAATCTGGTTTTCAGGTGCTTTAGCTGCTTCTCTGTGAGAACATTTTTTCCAAAGCATAAACTGAAATGCATTTTCCTCAGCACTTCAGCTGAACATTCACAAAGATGTCTTCCTACCTTGTATGAAAAAGAAGCAATCACTGGCAAAATGTTTCCCATGAGAGTAAATTAAAATTGGTTATACTAGAGCTGCTTCTTGCAATATTGGTTCTCTATTAATACTGTTCTTTTAAAAATGTTTTTCAATAATAAAAAATGGGTTAGTCAGACACAGTGATACACACTTGTAATCACATACTCAAGAGGCATAAGCAGGAAGAACTTGAATTCAAGTCCAGCTTGGCACGCGTGTGCGTGCGTGCGTGCGTGCGTGCGTGCGTGCGTGTGTGTGTGTGGTGTGTTTAACCAAAAAAGAATAAGATATAGAAAGATACAAAAGGATTTCTTTCATAATTTTCTAATGCCAGTACTGAAGCTTAAACTTAGGGTCTCACATCCTCACTTGACATTTTCACTCAGAACTGGTACTCTACACTTGAGTCATGCCACCAGCCTAACATTTTGCTGGTTAATTGGAGATTGAGTCCCAAAGCCATCTCTGTACAGACCTGGCTTTGAATCTTGATCCTCGAAGTCACAACCTCCTGAGTAGCCCAGATTACAGTCATGACCCATCAGCACCCAAGCATAAAAGGATCTACGAAGTCAAACAGCTGATTGTCAAGTCTACCATATGGAACCGTTTATTCTCTGTCCCCATCACCAATTACCATCTGACCTCGGCCCTTGGCTTATGAAGGTTATGGGATGATATTTAGCATGAGTGGAAGGTACTATTAGCCTGAGGTAACACTTAAAAGATATTTTGTTTTGAAAAGTAAGAAACAGCAGCTCTGCCACTGGCTTGTGAAAAGAACATGGCACAGCATGAAGCATTGGCCCTAGAATATTCTTACCCGCAGGGCCTCAATGACAAGGTCTCTGGCTTCCAGCTCCCCTTCCATCACACTGAGAAGCATCCGAAGCTCTGGTTTACTGAGGGTGTCCACATCAAACTCTTTTTTCTGAAACACAAATTGAAAAGAAAATGCAATGAATAGATAGGCATTCCTAGAAAAGATACATACACATACAACCTAGAGGTACCAGTAGATGTTTTCACCTGTGTCTCAGGAAATGCAGGAGGAACTGAAGTACTATTTAGCAGCAATCTATCTCTTGGCCTCCAGAAAAAGAGGTAAAACCTGTAAGGTCATTTTCCCAAATCTCCCCTAGAAGAAGACAAAGCTCACCAACAGGGCTGCACACCTGGATTCTATCACCGAATTATGCAGCAGGGATTTATAGTCTCTGGAGTCTGTATCAAAACAAGCCTGGTCTGTGTGGGTGAGGAGTTTCAAGGGTAGCAAAGAAAACACAGATGCATTCCTAGAAGGGCCCCAACATAAAGGCTCCTGGGAGGTTATTATAAATTCCAGGACATCCAATAATAACAGGTTATGTTTATAGAACACTGCAGCAGAGGCCACTGGCTGGCAATATCTGGTCCACAGATGTGTATTACTCAGGTCACAAAGAAAAAAAGTTTCCCCTTCCATTTGACCAGCACACACACACACACACACACACACACACACACACACACACACACACACATGCACACACACACACATGCACACACACACACACACACACACACACACACACAAATAAAACTGAAAAAAAAATCCTCTTCGTTTGACCAACACTAAGATAAAAGAAAATATAAAATAATACAGTTTGTCCAATAAAATAAAAACCATCCAGATCCCAAAAGTCCAGTATCTATGGGACCGCCAGATCTACCACAGAACAAAATTCCACAGAACCAACCCATTACTGGTTTCAAAAGAACATGTTCAGTTTGCAAATCATACATGCATACACACGAACACACACACACATATACGGGAGTGGGGGATATGGGCAGATTAACTTTTAATAAGCTTAGACTGCTACTCTTAGGAAGTTAATTGGGCAATAGAGTCATCTAAGAGTTTTCTTTTTTTTAATAGTAATTTTTTAATTATGAAAATACTGTACAGAAGGGTTACAATTACATGGGCAAGGTAATGAGTACATTTCTTATCAAGCATTGTTGCCTCCTCCTTTGTTTCCCCTTCCCATCCCTGCCCAATTCCCCACCCCACCCCCAGTCCCTCCACCAGTCCACCCCTCACACCAAAGTTGTAAAGATCGTTTTTCGACATAACATCATTGTTGCAATGGGTCCACCTGTATCCCTATTTAAATTGTTTTTTCCCTTCCCCTCCACAAATTATACCAACATCAAATACAGTGAAAACAGGGGATTATACCATGGGGGAGGGACATACAAAGCAACAAAGATATATCTTATAAATATGTTAGAAACAATAGCAAGAAAGAAAAACCATTTGAGTCCTTATCTTGGGGTTCATTTCGCCTAACATCAACTTATCTGACCTTTTCTACTTGACTCAGACATATACTAGATATTGCAAATAAGGGAAACCATGGGACCTATGTTTCTTTGGGCCTGGCTTACTTCACTTAATATAATTTTTTCGAAGTCTTTCCACTTCCTAACAAATGGGGCAATGTGATTCTTTCTTAAGCAAAATCTCTGTAGCTACTTTTCAGTCCATAAGGAACATTAAGCAGGAACTAATGACTGTAAGAAGAATCCTCCAGGAACCAGGATACAACAGGAAGTAACAGCATAAGGGCCCTGGAGGGTGAAATTCCTCACCCAAAGTTCTCCTAACCCATCATTTACTTCTTTAATCTCCTCCCCTCTGCAAGGGGTCTTATCTCCTGGCTTCCACTTTCGTGCTGACGTCAGTGAACCTCAGTTCTTTTGTCTTCAGAATCTCCAGTGTCTTTCCTTACAATTTTTATAAGTAGGTCTCTTCAGATCATCTCATTGCAGCTGGAACTGATTCAGGATCTGATGGCTTGTTCCAGCCAGGCCTGGTTAGCACTAGCCTGAAGGTATCCATGACACCTCAAGCTACTCCTCCCTTTAGTGAAGAGGACCACATGACAAACCCAGTAACCATCCTAGAGAAGACCACTCAGTTCATCCACAAATGTCTCACAATACTCCAACGCTGAAGCTGTTTTTCAGTACATTCCAGGACTTGCCTTCACATGTGCAGAGCATTCAGCAATCTCAGGGAACCAAATCTACTCCACATGGTACCATCATTTCTAATTTTCAGTTCAGGAAACCACAACTCAGAGAAGCCAGATCTCTCTCTCTCTCTCTCTCTCTCTCCCCCCCTCTCTCTCTCTCACACACACACAGATTGTGCAACTCGTATATGGTAAAACCAGGGTATATAACTGAGTGCAGTAGCTTGTCTGCACACTCTAGCACACAGCCTCAACGTTCCAGAACTAGCTCTGTAAGTTCAGATGAAATGGGAACCATTCTATCAGCCCAGAAGAACTAGTTTGGCACTCATGTGTAGCACTAGGCCATCCCAGTGAACACACAGTAGTAAATGTAGTAAATGCCATGAATGATTTTAGGGGCTTTCACAAGGCATGAACAGAACTACTGATACCTTATTTCAAAAGAAATTTCTGGAAGTAGACATGGTGGTATAAAGGAGAATAATGCCCCAAAGCCACCAACCTAGCTCTGGTAAGAGCTAGAAGGCTCCTAGAAAAAGATGTTTTAAAGGATCTTCCTTTTCTTGACTGTTTCTTTTTGCACATGCACTGAGCAGAGCAGTTTTTGGGAAAGGTGAGGCCTAAGGATGAAAACCCTTATAGTGGAGGTTTAGTATAGTATAGTTGTTTAGGAAGCTAACTTGGGAGATGTTCCCTGTGAATACTAAAATCAATATACCATGTCTCGAATTCTAAGTATTATCTCAGACAGTCACAGAAGTGCTCTAAAACTTCAGCACACAAAAGAATCTCCTGGAATTGCTTTCATTAAAATGAATATAGGTAGGTAGGGCTCAACTCCTAGAAAGTCTTGTTTTGTAAGCTCCTACTAATGATGCTGATCGAACACTGTATTTTGAGAAGCATTGTTATAACTAATCTGAGTCTCTGCTTACTCACGTCTATCGTGGAAATCCTAACATCTCCTTGCAGTCTTTGTGAGATGAATGAAAGAGCCTATATAAATGAAGTAAGCACTACATGCAGGCTTCCAATTGTTTTAATCACCCAGATGTTTCATGAATGGAGGAATGGGTCACTGGATAAGAACCTATTTCTTTGGAAACTACCAGGCCACATCCTATAAGCTTAAGATTATTGATTATGATGAAAGTCTGACTTTTATCCTGGTTTTTCCCAGGATGGGAAAGGAAGCTGCAATTCCTATGTGCTTTGTAATGTAATATTTTATTAATGTTGCTGCTGGTTGGTCTAAAGATTTTAATTAATTGCACCTTTTATTGTTCTTGTTTCCCTGAAGCTTCACAAGCAAATCACTCCATTGTAAAAACTAGTATATAATAAAAGACATTACGAAGGCTCTGATTCATGTTTGATTCAGGAGAGCCTGCCCTACTTTCATCGTCTTCAGCATCATGACATGTGACTGCCACCAACATTTCAGTTTGTTGACATATTACCACCAATAAAAGGGGCAATTCATTAAAGAAAAAAAAAAAAACCACACAGCTACAGGGTTCTTGCTAAACCACAGGTTATATTTCACAAAATGTTAAAAAATAATCTGACTCTCATCATCATGTATTACATGAAATATTAGTTTAGTACATCTTTCTGTGTCTTTTCCCATTATATGTATCTCCATTCTTTGCCTTTGGCAATAAAATGTAATTATATATACAGATACTCATCCTGTGATTTGGGGTTCTTTTTTTTTTTTTTTTTTGGTCAGTTGTGGGGCTTGAACCCTGGGCTTGGTCGCTGTACTTGCGCTCTTCAGCTCAAGGTAAGCACTCTACCACTTGAACCACAGTGCCACTTCCAGTTTTCTACTGGTGCCTGGCTTCCTGTGATATTTTCATCCTTACAATTTATGAGTTTTATTGTGGAATTTACTTGGCTCCATTAAAATGGAACACAAAACCCTAAGTGTCAGTATTTAGTAATTCAAAGTTAAAAGAAAAACATGACAAAAAAAACCAACAAGAATGCTAGTTTTCAATTCCAAGAAATACAGCAGAAAAGCACTTAAGAATCACCTACTATACACAAACCTGCATCGATCCCATGGTTTCCCTTATTTGAAATAACTAGTATAAGTCTAGGACAAGCAGAAGAGGTCAAAAGCAATGTACATATGGCCATATAAGATAATGTTAAGTGAAATGAACCCCAACTGTTTTTTTTCTTGCTTGCTTGCTATTGTTTTTAACATCTTTAAAATGCACTATGTGATTATTTTGCTTCTTTTGTATGTGCTTCCCTCACCGTATAACCCATTTTCATTGTTGGTGACCTGCAGCTTGTATATATATTTTCTAAGTTGGGAAGGAGAAGGGAAATAACAAAATGCTGAAATAAGGATACAGGTTGACCCATTGTAACAATGAGATGTACAAGACACTATGTTGAAAATGAACTTTACAACTTGGGGGGCAGGGAGGAGGAGTTGGGGAGGTGGGGAGGGAAGGGATGGTAAGGGATAAACAAAGGGGGAGGTAACAACGCTTGATAGGAAATGTATTCCTTACCTCACTCATGTAACTGTAAACCCCTGGGTACACTGTTTTTACAATAAAAAAAAAAAACATTAAAAATAACTGGCATAGGGTTCAAGCTAACTCAGTCTAGTCAAATGGAAGGACATCATATGGGTATAAACAAATCATATGTGTTCATTTACTGCATCTTGATATGCACTTACTATTGATTTGTGTGTGCTACTGTAATGTATAACAGGCATACTATATTCGTATATACAAATAATGGAGACAAACCACCTCCAGCTCATTGCGTTCATCAGTTTTGCATAGCTCTGAATAATCTGAGTGGGAGTGAGGAGTGTATTCGTCAGGATTTTCTTATTACAGGCTCAGTGAGACAGAGAAAGAACAGGCAAAACTGA